GAAGTTCGTCTGGTAAGAAGAAAGAGAAACCGTCATAGCACGAAAAACATCAGGAATCAAGGCTAAATCTGCAGATACTGTTTAAAAACTCTCAAAATATCCCCATTCTCAATTACGTTATGAATATGTCAGTCAAAATATTGCCTTTGAAGATCTACCATTCAATTTATTTGTAGCCGGGGAGTTAGAGATTATTTTAGATCCACAGATAGATAATACAGAAAAGAAAGGTCGTTTGTGTTTATTGAAACGTATTATGTACTTAAATTCTCATTTTAGTTTTCAGATATTACGTTCTTTCTATGCTGCAGTTTTGAGGGAAGTCGAATTAGGTGAAAAGACATGGGGGGGATGATTTTCACTATTTAGAAACATGCATTTTGAACAAGCCCAATCCTCCAGTGACTTCGACGAGCAGGGTTTCGAACTTTCGTTGTCCGACAAAAGAACTTCACCAGAAGTTGATGAGGAAAAAACGGTTTGGTTTTGTTCCTTTTATCAAAAAAATAAATGTGCTCATAAAGGTCCTCATTCTTTAGTTTTTCGTGGAAAGATGCGTTTAGCACAGCATATTTGCGCTGCTTGTTGGTCAAAAGATAAGAAAAGGTTAGAACATCCAGAATGCTCATCTTCATGTCCATATTCTGGGTCAGTTTGACTGTGGTCACAGTTACCATTATTTGATAAAGACAATGATATTGTTGACAAATTTTTACCAAGCTTTTTGTTTTTTCAAACAGTAATGGTTATAAAGGAGATAATGAAAAGTTCTATTTACAACAATATTTGTCAGGTTATAAGCCCGTAAATTCCTTATTGTGTTCCCATTCCCCATATTGTAAGGTATGTAAAGTCTTAAATCCATCAGAGTTTTCTAGTGAAACAGTTAATTTGGTTCGAATACATGAACTGGTTAAAAGATCAGGGAAATATAACTTTCAAGGTTGCAGGATTCCAGTTAATAAAAGATCAATACATGTTTCATGCGTCAAATTTTATCACATTTTAACTACAGTGATTTAGGTGTTTGTGACTTATTAGAATTTGGTTTCCCAATAGGTTTTGAAGGGAATGAACAAATATTGCCTTCTACTAAAGAAATTTGGCAGTATAAAAATTACAAGGGTGCCGAAGAATTTCCAGATCAGATAACCAGTTATTTACGAAAAGAACTAGAGTGTAATGCTATTATTGGTCCATTTAAAAAGAATCCCTTTAGTTCAAATCTGCTTATTTCCCCCTTAAATTCAGTCCCAAAACAGACAATTGAGGATAGAAGGGTTATACTAGATTTAAGCAGTGTTACAAAATGTGCAGTAAATGATTATGTGCCAAAGGATAGTTATTTGGGTGATCCTGTTTCTTTGGTATTTCCTAAGATTGATGATTTTGTTAAACTAGTATTGGCAAAAAGGTAAAGGTGCCTTGATGTATAAAAAAGATTTTATCTAGAGCTTATAGACAAATAAGTATTTGTCCTTCCAATTATAATTTGGTAGCTTATGTATGGCAAAAAACATGTTTTTTGTGATACTGTTTTGACTATGGGTTGTAGATCATCTGCTCAGATTTGTCAGAGAGTGACTAATGCAATTGCATATATATGATGTTTTAGGATGGGAATACCTATTTTAAATTATCTAGATGATCTGGCAGGCGCTGAAAATTCCAAAGATGCTTGGTTTGCATATAATACTCTAGCGGTTTTATTGCAGAAATGTGGAATTGAAGAATCAATAAAGAAAAGTAATCCTCCTTCTCAAATTATGACTTTTTTAGGGATATTATTTTAATAGTAATGATCTTACTATTGGAGTTACTGATGAAAGGCTGGTTGAAATTAGGGACTTGATCAAGTTTTGTGGTTAGATAAAAAAGTATGCCACTTTAAAGGAAGTTCAGTCTTTGTTAGGAAAATTACAATTCATTGGTTCATGTGTTAGACAAAGTCGAGTTATGGTGTCAAGAATATTAAATTGGTTACGTGATTTGTATACAGATAAATCTCAATTGCTTGGTTTTGAAATTCCGTCACAAGTTAAAAAAGATCTTGCATGGTGGAATTCTTTTTTACCATTATATAATGGTGTTTCTTTGATGTCATTAGGTAATTGGAGTGATGCTGATGAAATTTTTAGTGCGGATAGTTGTCTTAGTGGTTGTGGAGGTTTTTGGAATGGCATATATTTTCTTCATTCTAAATTTCCTCAGTTCATTTTAAATCAAAAATTGCATATTGGAGCATTAGAGATGCTTACCTTGGTAGTGTGTTTACATTTATGGGGTAAACATTTTAAGAATATGAGAATCAAAGTTTTATGTGATAATATGTCAGTTTGTATAGCATTAAATTCTGGTAGGGCGAGGTGTCCTTTCTTGCAGGATTGTTTAAGAGAAATCTGTTTTATTGCGGCTTCAAATGAATTCGAATTGAGAGCAGAACATTTGTTTTCTGAAGAGAACAGATTAGCTGAATATCTATCTAGGTGGGATAGTGATAAAATGTTTAGAGAAAAATTCTATGCTTTGACAGAAAGTTTAGAATTGCTGCAGTATAAGGTACAAGATGAGGATTTTAGATTTTGGAATTCTTGGTAATTTTATACATATGTATATAAGCTAAATTTTAAATATATACATGTATATTTTATGTTACAGTGGATCAGTTTAAGCAGTTGGAATATGAGCTTGGTTCTACAAATAGAAAAGCATATGCTGAAGGTTCTAGAAGAAATCTACGAATTCAAGTAGAATCCTTTCTTTTGTTTTGTCTCTACTTTAGTTTGCGGTATTTACCTGCTTCTACAAAGACATTGCAATTATATACTCAATTTTTGGGAAGGAGTTTCAAATCAGTAGAGTCAATTAGAAATTATATTAGTGGTGTTAAAACCTTTCATTCAATTTTAGGTTATGGTACAGATCATATTAACAAATTTTTTAATAAATTTATCTTTGAAAGGTTTGGCTAAAGAGAAATTGCACCTTGTTAAAAAGGCTGAACCTATTACCCCTGATTTGTTATTAAAACTTTTTGATGTGTTTGATTTGTCTAATTGTAAAGATGTGGTTTTCTGGTGTTTGTTTTTGTTTTCCTTTTTTCTTCTAGCTAGAAAGTCAAATTTAGTGCCCACAATTCAAAAAGATATGGTTAATCCAAAAATTTTTGCTATCAAAAGATGTTTCATTGACAGATTTTGGTTTGTTGGTTAAATTCAAGTGGTCTAAAACAATTCAATATGGTGAAAGAGTTTTATTGATTCCATTAGTGAAGATAGAAAATTCTGTGTTGTGTCCAGTGAAAGCTTATAATGATATGTTGGGTCTTATTCCTAGAGATACAGACTCACCCCTTTTTCTGTTGAAATCTGGAAAGCCAGTTTTTTATTCTAATTTCCAAACTGTTATAAAAAAGAAAATTTCTCAAATTGGTTTAAATCCAGATAATTATTCAACTCATTCCTTTAGAAAGAGGTATGGCTACCTTTGCTTTTAGGTCAGGTCTTTCTTCAGATCTTATAACAGCTCATGGGGGATTGGCGTTCAGATGCATATAAAGAATATTTACAATATTCCTTTGAAGATAAAATAACAGTATCAAAATTAATTTCTAAGAATTTAGAAAAAAGGAATAGATTAAGTAAGTATTTAGTTTTTCTGTTGGTTAACTTCTATCCTTCGCCTTACATGGGAAGGAGTTTTACTTTCAGTGGGATGGTTAGACTCACTGGGTAAGATATGGTTTTCAATGTCCTGTGAAGTTACCAATAGAAATTCTTGTACTGTATGATCTTTAATTAAGTGATTATTACATTCTTCTTAAACAAGGGGTGTTAAATCATTAATTGTTATATAGTTGTGTTTGTCATCAGTTACATAGATGATAATTCTGTAAATAGTAGTATAAAAGGATTTCATGTTACTTTTATATTGGTATATATGTTTTCATACCTTTGTACATGTATATTTAATTTTATTATATGTATTTTCAGAAATTCGCTGTGGTATCATTGTAGGAGATTCAATTGTAAAGCATCTGCCATTGATAGAGGGAGTGCAGTTGAGTGCCTTCCCAGGGACTACAATTACAAGGTTACAACATCAATTGTCTACAATTAATTTATCTGCATTCAGTTTTATAATAGTACATGTTGGTACTAATAATGTTGGCTAAAGGTCACAGTGTTGCCTTTATGTGTAGCGCATTTGCAGATCTTGTTAATTATTTACGTGCTCGTGCCCCTGGGATTCGTATTATTATTTCATCTGTACTTCCTCGTCCAGTGGATGATGATTCTTCTAGGTCCATTATTTTCGAATTAAATGCTTATTTGGAGAAAAACATGGCCAAGGATTTAAATTTTCATTTTCTTAAATCATACAGGCCTTTTTGTTTTAAAGGGTCAGATTAAACGACATTTATTTGCTCGTCTGGATGGAGGTTTACATCTAAACTCTGAAGGTTGTGCTCGTTTGCACAATTTTTTTCTACGGGTTATTTCTAATCTTTAATGGCCATGTTTTTTATTTTCAAAGGAGTTGATTGCAATATTTGATGTACAGTTACATTGTACTTCTTATTGATATTAGGACTAAAATGAATTGAATTTCATGTACTAGATTTATACTATTTCAGTATGTTGGATACTCATTTTATTTATTTCTTTTTGAATATGGACTTAAGTAAAAAAAAATAAAAAAAAAAAATGTATAATTATATTACGTAATTTTCAATGTTAACTTCTTAAATTATTAGGTGTCTGATTGTTGATCAAAGATACTTGTGGCACTTCTTAGTACACTTATTACAGGTAAATCTATTTGTATTGTGTTGTAAATGTAAATAATTGTTTATTGTTTAGCCTTTTGTTTTGCTTTATTTTGGCCTTGAGTTGGCGGGTTTTCTCTATAATTATGTTAAATTACATACATTAACATAAAATATTTATTTGAGTATTTAATTAATACAATTATTTGTATAAATTGTGTACAGCTTAGACATGCATTTGCCTAATACTAAAGATGAACTATGTGTGGTGTTTGTTATTTCTTGTTATTAAAGGTTATTGCCCTTTTTAAAAGTAAGGTCCGAGAAGTAATTGATTATATTTTAGATCTAAAATAACTAATTATTTCGAGTAAACCGTGACTTTGGTGAACTGTTTTCTGATTGGTCGTTTATTTTTTAGATTGTCGCGCCAATTTTGTACTTCTAGTCATTCGAGCCTTTGTTGTCTAGCTGTCAAGTTTAAGAAAACCCTCCCACCCAACCCATTATGTATGTTGATTTGCAAATTAGAATTTTTGATTTGAGTTTATTGCTTGTTTGCTTGTATATTAGCCTTTTTTGTATGTGTATAGTTAAGAGTTTTGTTTCATTATTTGTAATTTGAAATGCGCATATATGTGAATCTTTCTTACACACAGTTGGAGAATGTATTTTATTGAGGGAGTGTTTGAGTTAAATTGATTTTGTTTAAAGAATTGATTAGAAGCAGTTGTCTTCTTATTTTGCTAATTAAGAGTCATCAGTCTGAAGTAAGAGAGAATTCACATGTATGGATATGTGTTTATATGCTTTGTTTTGTGTCAGTATATGCAAAAAATGTATGATTTATTTTGCATGAATGTCTCTTTGTATTTAAGATGCTTTGTTTCCTGCTTTGTTCTTAAAGCTTATGCAAAGTTATTATTGAATTTTCTAAGATTGGCGGGTTTTCTCTATAATTATGTTAAATTACATACATTAACATAAAATATTTATTTGAGTATTTAATTAATACAATTATTTGTATAAATTGTGTACAGCTAGACATGCATTTGCCTAATACTAAAGATGAACTATGTGTGGTGTTTGTTATTTCTTGTTATTAAAGGTTATTGCCCTTTTTAAAAGTAAGGTCCGAGAAGTAATCTGAAACGTTTTAAAGTTCAATAATAATCAATAATGGTTTATGCATGAAAGTCTCAATTTAAGTGTAAAAATGCTTTAGGGCAAAGAAGCAATGACATTTGAAGACATTTAAATATGTGTTACATTTACATCGTAGGTGTTAGATGTAATAAATTACAACTTTGGAGAACGTTTTTACTCAATATTGCGTGGTTTTGACTTAGATGCGCAGTGATGCTATCTAATTTCACGGGATTGAATGATCAAATATAAAGCAACTGAGAGATAAATCGTGCAATATAATATGATATTACTGGGCAATGATTTCCATTTAACCTCCTCGTTTATTACAGTCGACTTTTTTAAACCGATAACATCGCAATAAATTTACGCATTTGAGTCTTTATTTGATGATGGAATTGTTCAAAACCATGTTAAGCTGAATGTAGTACCTATACTTTACTCGCTGATATGATTGTCAGAAATTTTCTAAACATTACTTTATTTTTATCTTTTATGAACTGAATATTATTTGAGACAAATGTTTAGCTATTGAGGCCCAAAATTGTCCTCATGGACACTGTTGGACACGTACTAGTGGGTAAACGCCTTTTACAGTATGGCTATGTTCATTAGAGTATATTATTGCTTCTTTTAATAGTGATTTCAGTATTGCAATAAAAGATGGCAGATTAAAACAGATCAAACAACTACAAGCAATTTCATGGAACTATAACAAATTTTGATACCATTTCAAAATAAGTTAAATAACGGTAATGCCCATAGTTTATACAGTATTAGTTAAGCATCCCGATTGTTAAACGATTTTTTAAATAAATAATGTATCTTTTCGTATCAAATGTATCATAAGCCGAAGGCAGTGTAGATTTCATTACATTACGCAAGTAATCAATAATTCTCGTTAGATATGACTACTGATAAATCACATACTACAATTAACTTCCACCACATGTGGTCGAAGTTTTAAAATTATGCTTCAAGCGCGGACATAGGGGAATTCAATAATTGACGTTAGATATGATTATCTCGTTGCTTACATGCTGAAACATATATAATAAACCATAATAATTGACATTCACCACATCCGCTTAAAACATTATAATGCATCGGTTTCGTTACTTCATTACATTCTCCTTTTCTCCTCTCTAACACCTAAAATGTCTGGGGGGGTTATTAACGGTGTCCGCTTAAGCTTCTTTTATGTCTTAAATATTGACATCTAAAGATTCTCTTATTTTTCAGAACAGCAAATTTACTGTCCAAGGTTATTGCCATCAACAATGGGACGCTAGATAACATCGACGACGAACTGTTCTTTCTTCTCGTACGGAACAATGTACACGGGGAAACAGTGATATATGGCTCGGCTATTGGACTAGAAAAGGGAGTTTACAGGTTAAAGTCTTGTTTTGAATAACGTGAAACAAAAAGCATAATGATATTAAAGTAAACAAACAAAGCTCAGGTCATTTTGTCCCTTCTAATCAACCACTTTTTTGCATGAAATGGTTTCTGTCATTTCTTGTTGTCTCTGTGGTATTATCGAGGCTTTCATATTCACTGAGATCATAACATTTGTATTAATTGTAAGTATTGCAAAATACTTGTTGACCTTGAAATATGCTTTTGACTTCACTTATTTAGTTTGTATTCGATGAATAACCTAACACTTGACAGGAACTGGAAGCCCCTTCAAGGAATGCTTTATTTCTTTGACAACCTGAAATAAAAAGGCATATATAATGCAACACAATGCCTTGTATGGACTGAGCGTTTTAGAAATTTATTTAAAGTAAGAACCGTCTGTTTCCATTTTACAGTAAGTACGAAAGTTTTTGTCCCTATGCGTACAAGAAAAATGGAACTGTTAGAGCGCATGATATAGCCATTAACTATGACTTCCAAGACACGTATACACCCTGGTGGACGGAGATCAAAGCGAAGAATTTTGATAACGTTCCTATAGTTAAAGATGTGGTTATGTATAGGTAGTGTTAGAATTCCTTTTTTAATAAAATAATCTATGACAAAAATTTAACGGATATTGTGTTAAGATTAATAATGTATTAGTGCTGATATGTATAATACAAAAAGTGCAGTTTATGTAGTGGAATGAATATAAACACTTGTTAAAAAGCAATTATCTGAAAGAAAAAATAGTCAATTTTGACCGAATGAATTCAATTCTTATGATGCTTTTGCTTTTAAAAATCTAATAAATTTATTTCTGTTTAACCATTATTTTATTCCTTCAAGATTCCCAAAGGGGAAGCTATTGCCCTTTACTGTTTAAAAATAAAGCTTACAATAGAAAAAAACTATTTTTGTCACCTTCGAAATCCAAGTTTCTTCTATGTCTTTTTGATATAAATTTTAAATTCGCTGTTTCAATTCGCTATTTTGAGTTAGATTTGCATCGAATGGTGAACAAATCCTCACCAGATATAAAGAAATGATCACGTAATATGTGTGTAATTTTCCGCCCTGAAAACTAAATATTAAGTTTTTGAATCATATCTTTACCTGGACGTTTAGATACACTAAATATTCAGTAAATAATACTTATCCAGTGAATGTGAGATTGACAACTATAATTTAAGTTGTTTTAAATAATCACATCGCATATTTCCTTTCTGATTTTTAACAGAGAAGGAGACGATCATCTTCTTTCAGAACGTGCAGTCTCTTATCCAGTGGCAAAAATTACAGATGGTTACTGGACTGTACCATATTTTGATTGTGGTGGTGGTAACGTGTGGATGGTAACATACGTAGCTCCTCTTCTGAAAGAACAGAACGGTTCTGTTGTGTTTCAGTAAGTTTATTTTCGTTCATCATTGTTTAAAATAGTGAAATGAATGAAATGAAAAACGATGTAAAGCGTATTAAAATCTAGTACTCAAATGTATATACAAATGTTTCAAAAATTCATTTTTTTTACTATATTAGAATGTCGATAAGGACCTGTACTACAGGTTATAAAAGAACGATTTTTTATGCATTAAAATACAAATGTATTTAAATCAAACTTGTATGCAATTCATATATTTGTTTTTTTTTGTTGTATAGAGGGATAGCATCTATAGACATTGAATTGACGCACATTGACATTAACCAATGTGACAGTGAAGAAGGTGACATATCTTCTGGCCTTGATGTATTTCGTTCAACACACAGATGTCAGCCTACAACCACGGTCAGGTTGCCCTTTTACTTTGTGGGCCTGTTAATCAATCAATTGTATTTGATTTCCTTTTCAGATACAGTCGTTTCCTTTTATGTATAATTAAAGTGATTATCCTGTCTGTGTTTTGCATTGTGTCCTGTCCTTCTTTGTTTATGGTCCTCCTGGGCTCCTTGCCACTGGTCTTTGTTGCTGGGTCGTGTGGGCTTTGCGTTTATTGAACGCCTTTCCATGTTGATCATGTTTATTAGATTTCGTACACTTATATAAACGAAAAGCTCGTTTAAAATGACAAGAACAATAGTAACAGTTAAATTAATATTATTGGTTTACTTTGTTAGTATATGAAACAACATTTAATTTACATTTTAAATATTTGATTTAAGTTATACGGCCTCTTTAAATTCATAGAGTTAATGATCTGGAAAAGAAAAGCAGCAACAACACCATTATGTTGACACAATTAAGAGACTGATAATTTGAATATCTTATCTCTATGTTGATATTTCTTTTTTTTAATTGCTATTAATACATTAGTTGTATTTACATAAAAACTGAGATAACCTTTGACAAATAAATTTAAAGTTTCTTCTTTCAAAGTAAATATTATTTGTCTAATTGTGATTTAATTATACTAATGAGCTTAAAGGAACTCTACTGAGGTCTGACAGGCAATTTGGTGTAAAGAAATGTAAACAAATATCTATACAAATCACTATATTATAGCTAAAATGACAATAATTTAAAAATATCACTAAACAAATTCGCTAGAAAAATGCATATTTCATTTTGTATGAATAGTTTTTGTTGTATAAATATTTATATTAAATTTTAATCCTTTTAAAAAAATTGACCGCTTTAAGAAACCGTTTCATTTGTTTAGGTTTAAATTAGCATTCTTAGTAAAGTTTGCGTAACTTCCAAAAAGTAATAATTTTCGAACTTTGTAGAATATTTTAAACTTTCATTGTTTATATCTTCTGTTACTATTTTTAGTGTGTCGCTATATATGGGCAAGGTTTTGTGACAGGTGCCTACAATTGTCATTGTAACGATGGCTATTATTTTCCTCGGAAAACAAATGGAACAAAAGCGTACTCCGTAACAGAATTAGATGATTATGTCCGAAAGTTTGGAGAAGTCAAATCGGGAATGTTCCAGTGCGCTGCGTGCGCAACCGGATGTGACACGTGTGTTGACAGTTCTCCATGTGTGCAAGAATATGAAATTCATCTGAAAATCATACTTTTAGCTTGTACATCGTTAACTGTAATTGGTATCGTGTCCGTTGCGATTGTAACTTACTTTTACAAAGATAACAAGGTAACTTTGTTTGTTTGTTTTATTGGGTTTTACGTCACACCGACACAGTATAGGTCATATGGCGACGTTCCAGCTTTACTGGTGGAGGTAGACCTCACGTGCCCCTCTGTGCATTATTATAGGCATGAACGAGTACCTGTGAGTAGAACCACCGACGTTCCGTTAACTAGCTGGATAGCTTCCTCACATGAAAGAATCCAAAGTCCCTGTCGGGATTCGAACCCACAGCGGTGAGGGGCAAGTGGTTTGAAGTCAACGACCTTAACCACTACAAGGTAACTGTTATATAACGAATGTATTAGAATTCATTCCGTCTTTTAATTCAAGAAATGTTAATGTAACGTTTTGACATTTACCTGTGAAACATCTGCTAATTATAAAATGTAGTATGTTAAGTTGATGCAGTAGCGCATTCAGTATAATAATATTGCACGTTGGAACAAGACTTATTCTACAAAGAAAATATTTCAAAACTTAGTGAACATTAAACTTTTATTACATAGATATGTTTCGACACAAGAGGTCTTCCATTTTAAGCTCACCACGGTAACCACTTTAGCGTTCAAATTTCTACTTGAAAGTTTGTTAAGGAATTAAACACTATATCACCATCAACAACAAACATCACAAGGCTTCTATATTTTAAGAATTACTCTCTTCATCTTCATTTATTCTTTTCATCTTAAGTTTTTCATTTTAACTTTCTACCCAAGGGATATACATAAATTTATTATCACGCGCATCACATGTGCTTAACGATACATTTCCTTTGAACTTTACATGTCACAAGAAAATGTTATTTCATTTTAATCTTTTTTTATTACTAATGAGAATAACAAAATTGATACAGTGTTTGCTCACTCTATTTTCTTTACTAATTTAACTGTCTAGGGGTTTTCTTCATTTAATTTAAATATTTCTTCCCTTTCATCATCAATATCACATATGAAATGGTCGTTTACTCTGGCGCAATGTTGCAACTCTTTTTGAACTTTAATGTAAAATGTTACATGAATTTTATCTGTTAAGCAACAACTTTTGCCACTTTTCTGTTAATATCTTATTTTCCCTTTAATGAATTTGCACGTTATGTGATTTATAAGATTTGGACATACAATTCTTGATGTGATCAATAATCATAACAACAACTTTTTCTTAGGTATCCCCGTTTGCTTTAAAAACAGTCGAGCAAGTCTTTCATTTGGCATCTTTTATTTAATTTCAGTAACCATAGGTTACCTTTTTATTTTTCCCAGTTATAAGCATACAAAAAAACACACACAATACATTATCAAAACTTAGATTTTTTTAAAGAAAAAAATGCATAATATACTAATTATTCCAAGCGTTTTGTAATATTTGTTTAACATTTCTATGGGAGTATTTTATGTAATGTAATCTAAGAGCTGTCTATAATTAACGTTTATGTCAAAAATATAACTAGAAATGATATAATGCATTTCGTATTTTTCTGTTAACTGTTGGCAATTTTGATTTTTGATAATGTTCTTTCCCTGTTTAATACTGTGCCATAAATATATTAAAAATTGCATTTTTTTAAAGTTTCTTTTAACATTTGAAATCCAATTATTTCTTTTTATTTATCTTTAATGCATATTTCTTAAAAGGAATTCATTGATTTCAGGTAATCAAATCTGCAAGTCCTATGTTTCTCGAACTAATGTGCGTTGGTGGTATTTTGGTTTGTTCACAGGTATATCTTTTCATTTACATTTATGAATATATCAAAAAACAAAAACATACAAATTTAAAAGAGGGAACTACTTAAGCTTAGTAGTCAGTTTGTTTGCCTTTCAAGTAGAAAGACCCATATAAAAATTTCACCAAAAATATTTTCAGGTCGCCGGTACAGACCTGGGTGCGGTTCCAAAGTGGATTTATCGATATTGTTTTCAATTAATTGCTTAAATACACGGTGACATTTGCTTTTTAATTTCAGTTTTTTACAACTTATTTCACATCAACTGTTTTGGTATGCACAATACGCATCTGGCCGCAGCATATCGGTTTCTTTATTCTGTATGGATCTCTGGTTGTAAAGACATGGAGGTATTTATTCTGGCAATTTTTTTTTATACTGTTTAGTTTAAACATATTTTAGCCGCGTCATGACAAAACCAACATAGTGCTTTTGCGACCAGCATAAATCCAGACCAGCCTGCGCTTCCGTGCAGTCTGATCAGGATCCATGCTGCTCGCTTACAAACCCTATAACTAGTAGAGAAACTGATAGCGAACAGCATGGATCCTGATCAGAATACGCGGATGCGCAGGCTGGTCTGAATCCGTGCTGGTCGCAAACGCACTAGGTTGGATCTGTCATGGCGCGGCTCATTTTATTTCAAACATTTTGCACACAAACAAAATTTGCAACATTTACATACAATAATAAATAACACAATTCAATGCTGAAAAGTGATCAGAACCGAAAGCATAAAATATTTTAAAGGCCTTTTCCTAACATAGGATTCATAATTATAAACAAGACGGGTTTTTGAAAATGTTTGAAATATTGAATGTGTAGACAATATGAATATTTATACTATTTAAAATGTATAATATTATCCATTTTGATGTATCGTGCTAAATACATAATATTTCTTTAAATAAACAATTTTAAAACAATAAAAATAAAATAGAAACTTTGAGGAAAGCATTCATTATCAGTTAGACTATTTGCGTATGTCTATCCAATATATGTTCGAATTATTTCCCTATTACTAACAAAGTAGTCGATTTCTATTTATATTTACTCTTAAGTAATTTCTACTTATAGCCAAATTACACTTCACACGATGTTTACTAATAAGTGTTATTAATTTTTTGATACTTTGAAAAATAAGCAGCAAAAATCTGAAAATGTTCTGATGTAACTTTCCTTTATGTACCGAATTGTGTTAAAAGTTATACGTTTTTTAGGGGTTTTTTTTCGTATTGTTTAAAATTATGCAAAAAATCTTCCCGAAACTTCATCTATACTTTAATCAGCATTCATCCATAAACACATAATTTTAGAGTCAAAATTACAAACGAATAGAAAAATAAAATGAAAAGAATCCATAAGCATGCATGTATAACATTATTACAAGAACAAAATTATACATTGCATAGGAAAAATATTCACGACTGGGAATCCATTAGTAAATGTGAGCAAACTCCGTCGGGGTTGTTATCTACCTGTCACCATGAAACCTTGTGGGAATAATTCATTATTTCATTAATGACCAGATTCAATACGGGAATATTTCCTGAAATGTTTTCTATATTAAATTAGCAAATTAATGCTTTAATGCGTTCATTGATGGGCAAAAATCATTTTGAATTAATGAAAGTTTATAAGCAATAAGCTGTTGATGAAAGCTTTGATAATTTGCCGTTTTTCTGTATTCATGTTAATTTAAGTGTCCTTATTTGAATCTAAGAATCTGCTTATAAACAGCAAGCATTTGAGCCGTGCCATGACAAAACCAACATCATGGGTTTGCGACCAGCATGGATCCAGACCAGCCTGTGCTTTCGCGCAGTCTGATCAGGATCCATGCTGTTCGCTTACCAACCCTATTACATGTAGAGAAACTGATAGCGAACAGCAGGCTGGTCTGGATCCATGCTGGTCACAAACGCACTATGTTGGTTTTGTCGTGACGCGGCTCATTTTATTTTTTTTATTTTAAAGAGTTTGAACAAAAATGCATCAAAACTTCAAAGGGAATGACAAATTTACATGGTCTGACTCTTTGAAATACACTTGTATAAATTGTTCATGTCTTCGGAATCATAAAGTTTATGTTATTACACTTTTGATTATTCCTCATGAACTGTCAATAAAGCTGAGTCAGTTATGGTCAGCTACGTGTTTATACTCTTATATTTATCCAAATGAATCTCACCTTTTTTAAGAATATTTATACAATTAAAATGACACGGCATTTTAATTGAAAATGGTCAATTGAAAGATAATTTTTCCAAGGAAATTTTAATAATATCGAACCTTCCCATACATTGTAACAACTTACATTATAACTGCTAGGTTAAGTATAAGTATATGATGTTTTAAAGAATTTCTGCAATATTTACTGTGGGTGCTGGGAAGAGAGTTTACCTTCCAGATAAGGCTCTTTATCAACGGCTAGGTCTTATGATGGGTTTTGTTGTTATAGTTCTTGCCGCATGGACTGTAGGTAAACCACCAGTAATTCAAAAAATTAAGACATCCGATGATCTTCTCTTTTATATTTGCAACTATGGACCAATGGAATATGCCGTTATTTCAGGTAAAAACTAATTATCTATCTTATGTGGTCATTTAAACCTAATGCAGGATCTCCTTTCTAAAAAAAATGTATTTTCTGTACATTTACTCTGTTCAATGTCCATAGGGAACTTTATTTCAATTTTTGTACTTTATTCTTTTTTGTTGGCTTTCTTTTTGTAGTTTTTAGAAATCTTTAATAAAAAGTATTTGCCGTTTTATATAGTTATTTTAAGTGTGAAATGATATTTTCAAAACTTGCTTGATAGAACTTTATTTTTTTTTGCACAGATCTAAAGAATTGTATCTTAATAATTACTATTATTGAGAATAATATATGCCCAAATGGTAGATGACGAAATCTGACGGGTTTCATCAAAACATGTTATTCTGTTTCAATAATCCATTTTTTCATATTTTGATTTTTTATTCGGTTTTGTGTGATATTATCCAACATAATTGTTAATAATAAATAAAATGTTTTCAACAAATAGAAACATAACTGTTGCAATGGTTCTATATCCGATGCAATTATTTCACTAAGATCGTAAATATTTATTCAATTGTTTTATTTTGTATATGAGTCAAGAAAATAATAAAGTTTGATAATTAGTTAAAACTTTACATGCCTAGGTTACATTGACAATTATACAAACAATACCTTAATTATTGTTTTATACAATTTTAAGCGGTTCTATTATGTTTTTATAACAAATAGTGTTATTATTTGATGCGTTGCTACATTTTTTGTTCTCCGGGAAACAAGTTATGTAAAAAACAATCTTTTTGTTTCTTTTTTTGTAACTCCTGAAATTTTCTAAGAGGATTGCTATAAACATATTTGATATAGGCAAGCTTTAAAAATTGTTAGATATGAATGAACTGTCTATTTCATTTAGTGTAGAAAGCAATACAGTGTTGATTGTATGTTACGTGTATGCTAATGATTGATATATTATTGTGTGTAATGTTTAATGCCCACTTTACCATGCTTGAATCGGTTTATCTGAATGTCCTGCTGAATAGTATGCGGCATTTGTTCCGTTCTATCAAGTTGGGTAAAAATAGAATTATTATAAACTCCGAAACTTAAATAATTTCATGATTTGCTTATTTAAGTTTAAATTAACAAAACATTCGTCTCACATTTAATCTTTTAGCTGAAATACTGCTCCTATTGTATGGCGTGTACCTTTGCTTCACAACAAGAAAAGTGCCGTCACAGTTCAATGACAAATTCATGACGTATGCGATATATAACGCAATAATTCTTGGAATTTTCATGACATTCATGTCGTTAGTATATATCATTTTCATTTTCAAACATTTTACACCTGTCAAAATCCCTGCATTTTAATACTTTTCTATTTAAATATCAAAAAATGTCTATTGGAAAAATAGTAATAAATTAACATTGAACTGTTTTTTAATACTAAATAAACTTAAATAAATTCCTATACACTATTCGTATCGTATTAGAATCTACGTTTAAAAACTTATTTTAACGTCTGCATTTAACATAATTATTCTTTGATGATTAAGCGTCTTATTAACAGCATTTTTAGAAATCACGCACCGATTGATCTATTTCTAGATGAAAGTAGGAAATTTCGATGTTGATTTACTTATTTGGCTGTAGAAAGTCGTCTTTGAAAGTCTTAGCAATGTGGTTGGTGTGGCAGCACCTCATTTATGATCTTTTCCTTTCAGTCGTCTGCTTATAACAGTTATCGGACCTGATATGTCTCTGGTGTTTCAATTTCTCCAACTCCAAGTGTTTGCTACAATTACTCTTCTTATCATTTTTGTTCCAAAGGTATGTTTAAGTCCGACATAAAAGGGTTATTACATGCTACGAAGATACATGCAAAATATATGTGTGATTAACACATGATAGAATAAAAATAAACCATTGTTCTTGAATAATAACTAAATTATTTGAAAAAGAATTTTGTATTTATTTTCAATTGAGAAAACAAACTTATAGTACTGCTATAAAAATAATTTCTTGAAGTAGTTACTCTTTCTACAGGTACAGCTACACAATTGTAAACTTACATTGTTTATTAGTTTATCACTGCAATTATAGATTATGTTCTTTTGGATTGCAACTGAATTTAAAGTTGAACGGTTTTATAAATTTACATTGAACGGTTTTATAGTAAATTTATTACGTAATTATAATGAAGAAGAAGAAGGATTAGGTATAAATTGCCTTTTATTTATACAATCATGGATATACATTTTAGAATTTTACTTCTATTTAGAGTTGTTTCGCGCACTATGAGTTTCGCACTGTGAAGCTATTTTGATTCCTACATATACTTCTATTACAATAAGACAATAATATACAAAATGTTAAATTATCTCTAGTTTTTAGCTGCCAGAAAGGCAAAAGAAACTGGCGATCAGAATAACACATTCTCTAGTCTCAACGGCCAAGGTTTCGGAAAAGGTCTATTTACTAAGCAGTTATCATCTGAGCTAGATTTGAATGTAAACTTTCTCAAATTCCTGGTGAAAGCCACGAACAAGGCAACACAAACAGACAGTACGTTAGAAAGCGAGGGATCCACTTACACAACAGTCGACACAAAATAGTCGTTTGGTTAAATATATACATAATTTGAAACATCGAGTCATATATCATAAATTGTTTTAATGCAATAATGTCAATTTTCACAATGTTCCTGTGAACTAATTATATAATTAAACTTAACGTTATGTTTGAACTGATAATAAATCCCAAAGGATTGATATGGCTAAATAAACCAAACAATCTAAGATTTGATAGCCAACTGCTCTAATTGTCCCGAAACATTTTTGACACCCATTGTTTATTGAAGTTTAAAGTGTCACCCTCACTTTAAAATTACTAACGTTTTCTGTTTCTTAAAACATAAATGAAAGAAAATTTTTGCATCGTTTACTTGATAAAAAGGTGCGTCTTATAATTAATTTTTCAATTGGCTTTTAAAAAAGGAAGAAAACTCTTTAATGTATATAATTTTATGTCTACATAGCACAAATTCCGGGCATAATTTTTTTTTCTAACTTCGGAATTCGTATAGATGCAACATTAACAAAAACTATTACTTAAAGTAATTTCTAAGATCAATTTTATCAGGCAAATTATTTATTGACATGTCCCACAGGGTATCGCATGAGCGGTTCTAGAGGGGGGAAGGGGGTTAGGAGGTCATGACCCACCGTGGACGTGGCTTGTAAGCAAAAACACACTTAAAATATCAACGTACGTTATTTTAGTGAAAACACACAAATACTAGTACAAATCACGCAAAAATTTTACCTATGACACCTCTGAAATACAAGTAAATTGTAGTTAAGTGGGGGGCATTGTAGTTAAAAACTGAACCAGCAATTGAAATGTAATATATCTGTGTACGACGATAATTTCTGAGAGAGAGACTTGGTTAACTGTCAAAAAAAGCCACGTACCACATCATAGTGTCATTAGTCTAGATCATTGATCAATACTTTTAGTAATAAAAAAAGCTGGCTCAAGGTGCGTGAGGTATGTTTTACAGTTCACTGCCCCGAGTCTGCAATATTTGCTAATTAATCTTGTTTTCATCAATGTCGACCACTCTGCCCCTACAATGTCTGAGATTTTTTTCTGTCATTTGTATTTATTGTTAACAGTACTTGATTTTGATCTAAATTTTTATTTCTGTTGTCATATGATCTACACACTTGGGGGTTCTCTTCAAAATAGCCAATCCTTGTGCTTTCAAATAATTATAAATCATATTTAGTAAAAATATTTGTAGAAAAGATAGCAACTAGAAAGTAATTTGTCCTTTATATTTATGAGCCTCATTATCAATATTGCTTTCATGACATTCCCTTCGAACATAAACCAAGACACGAGAGTAATTATAAAGTAAACAAACTTAAGTGAAGTATGTTTCCATGGAAACTTAAAAGTTGTTTACGAGATTGAATATCAATCACTCAAGTTCTTATTTTCATACATTTACTTTGTTTCGAATACTTCATATTTTGATATGATGAAATATCTTCAAATATTTAGTGACCTTATTGTGTTTCCGTATGATTTAATTCTTTATGAATTGCAACTTCTAGACGAATATTTCCTTTACATTAAGATTTGATAAACGATCAGGGTATTTCAATCGTCTATAGAAAAATAACAAAATGACCTAACATTTTTTAATTATTTGAAAATCCACTGAGATTAAGTGATTCAAAACGTTTGAAAGTTTTAAAGTACAACAAATCTTAAGATCAATACGCCAATTACAATCATTAATTAATTTATAGAATAAATGTTGATGCAGAACTTACCAGATACAGCCAATGTTTCCCATAAATACGACAATGATAATTATCGAAGGCAAAGGTTGAGATGATAATGATAATGATGGCGATGTTGATGTCGATGTTTATAGTTATAATAAATTTAAAATTAAAAATGATAATGAATATGATGGTGTTGCTGACAGCGGAGATGTTGTTTGTGTTTTTACTGCATTTAGAACAAATTTGTTAGTGCTAGTAGTAGATATACGAGCTTACAATTAAGTAATATATTTGTACCTTGCATCTAGAATTTGGAATGTTTGTCGAATCCTACAAAAATTGTTAAAGGCATAAATACGATTGTTCTTATGATACAAAAGTACAAATGTGTAACGTTTTTTATAAATGTAGTTGATTAATTAAGACCATGTTAGATGCTTATCACATGGAGAAATAATTTGTAATAAAAGTATCAAAACGCAATTTAAGTTGTACTTTGTTTGCCATGCACAATACTAAATGACTATAACTTTACAAATGGCCAAACAACAAGTGATGGTTCAGTAATGGCAAACGGGAACTGTTTCGGAAATAGTAATATTATACCAAATCTGGAAAACCATAAAAAGCTTTTGAGAAATGAAATCAAAGCATACATGTATAGGTCTCAGAATGGTCCATTACAAATATAAAAATTAAATAAATCAAGAGGTCATTTTTTACAAATGGTTTTCAAATTAAAAAAAAGTAATACAAAGTAACAACAAAACATGTGTATTGAATTTATATAAAAAAGAATTGTTAAAAGCTCTTTAATGAATATTTTAGTACTAAACTCCCAAGCTTGCAAAATATTTGATCCCCAGAATGAATTCTAATCTTTGTAAACAAATAGTAAGGACAAATCGGAAAAGGGCAAGGACAAACAGAAATAACGACACTGTTGGAAGTACATTCAAGTAAAAGCATAATCAATACAGATATTTCTTTATGCTTCAGGTTGATACATGTTTTGTACATTTGTATAAATTTGCTTGCTTTGTTTCGAATTTCACCAACACTGAGAAAGCATGTTCAATCTTGCCGAAAGACACAATACATTCTTTCTTCAATTGTTATGTTTTGAGTTAAGTTTGAAAATGTTAGACAATGTACATTAATAAGTATACAATTAAAACAAATTGGTTGAGCAACAAGTTCCTACAATATTAGATTAAGCCTCTCCCAGTACTGAATCTTATTGGGGGAAAACATACTATTAGGGCAACAATGCAGTGATTTGTTTTTACATTTGAAAAATTAAATTTTGTAATTGTTTTGTCTTTTTAGTCCAGTCAAATTGTGAAAAAATACTTCAGAAAATGGGAAAAGCACCAAACTTGGTACAAATGAACTTTGATATATATAAGAAAAATTGAGCATGGGACCCATTTTTGAAAATCCAATATGGCGGGAAAAATCCAAAATGGCCGCCATACGTGTTAAAAATTTCAAAAACGCTTCTTTTTACTAAGAGAACTTGAAAGATAGATGCATATAAGGGTATTGTAATCAGAAAAATAGTTGTTATTAGTATTAAAACATTGCTTTGTCTTTTTAAAGCTATTACATTTAACATATTTTATTGTTTCTGTTTGTCATTAGTTTTCACGACCCTGGAAATCCGATGAAATAGAATATTGTAGAGGTCTGTGTTTCCGAGCTATAATCAGATCAAGGAAAACAATGGACAAACGTGCTATATAATTTGCCATATCTTGGCACTGTTTTTAGTGCCCTACCGGTTTACCGGAGGGGACTTTAGGTTTACCCTCCGTCCGTCTGTCTGTCCGTCTGTCTGTCCGTCCGTCTGTCTGTCAGTCCGTCCGTCCACAAAACTGGATCCCGCGATAACTTGAAAAGTACTGAAAATATTTTTATGAATTTTGATATATGGATAGATGGCAGTATGGAGATTATGCACGTCTTTTTCTTTTCCTCCTATGTTGAAAGTTCTGGTTGCTATGGCAACAAATAGGCTGAAAATATGGCAAATTTTACACATAAACTGGATCCAGTGATAACGCAAAAAGTAATAGAAATATTTTTTTTGAAACTTGTAATATGTGTAGATGGCAGTCTGGAGATTATACACGTCTTTTTCTTTTCTTCCTATGTTGAAAATTCTGGTTGCTATGGCAACACATAGACTGAAAATATGGCAAATTTTACACATAAACTGAATCCAGTGATAACTCAAAAAGTACTGGAAATATTTTTATGAAACTTGACATGTGGGTAGATGGCAGTCTTGAGATTATGCATGTCTTATCTATTCTTCCTATTTTGAAAAAATATTGGTTGCCTTGGCAACAAATAGGCTTAAAACATGGCAAATATAACAATATTTGTGATAAGTCAAAAAGAACTGAAAATTTTTATGAAATTGCATCTTTAATTCCAGAGTTATCTCCTCTTTAATAATTTTGCTTTTTAAAATGTTATATTTTGGTAACAGGGATGTTTCAAATATTAACTTTAGAGTGTCCTTCAGTCCGTCTGTCTGTCTGTTCATAAAAACTTTTTCCTGTGATCACTTTTAAAGAACATTTCCAACAAATTTACTTAAAATAGAGAAAAATTTAAACATTAGTGAATGGCCAATGGCCCTTCAGAATGCTGATGGGGTTCTAACCGGTAGGGGACTTATGGATTGCTTGCAATACTATGATAATTGCTTGTTCTTCTGAGGGCCTCAAATGTTTGTAAGATTCAAGATACGTCACCAAGTCTAAGGTTTAGAACGAATGAGACATTGAAAATAATATGAGTACGCCTTGCTGCCTATAAAACATCAGATACCTTGGGTATTTCTCTCTTAATGCTGACAGCTCTTGATCATGCTTATGAGAACAGACTTTGTGATGAATGTGTTGTTTGTTATTATTTAGAGTCTCAGTCAGTATTTTGTGCTGGGTTTTGTTGTTATAGCTCAGCAGTTTCTAGACTTGACAACAAATTCCAAATTTTCGTTGACATGCTTAAACAAGACAAGAGTAAAGAGTAAAGCATATTGATTTTCATCATCAAGATCAAGAACGTAAATTCCAAAATAGGCTATAAAAGCAGGTTTTGTTCCTTTGTGACAGATTTGATCTGACATGTGCAATTCTTTTTATGATATGTGACGTAATTACGAACAATTCCATAGAATGAGAATGATGGTTGAGATTTGGTACAGTTTCGAAGCTCAAATAGGATAAACATAATGGTTATCTTGTTTGCAGCTAGAAATCCCAAAGAGCAACTTTACAAAGATAAAAAGCAAATATCCTAAC